GTTTCACTTCTAACTGTTTTCAGTATGCCAAAGTGGCTTATTTAGATCTGGACTGAGTGCAAGTTTTAATGCAAGAATAATAAAGATTGTAGGATTTGAGGTTTTCGCTGCAGTAAGTCTGAAGATGATTGTTAACCATTTTCTTGGTATACTGGGTCTTTACATCATAGCTTTAAGTGAGAGGCATATCAAAGAATATAAGATAGATTTTTTTATAAATAGAAATGAAATGTAGATAAAATATTTTAAAGGACTCTGATACCTATTTATTTTTGATTTAAACTTTTTGTAATTAAAACACTGAACTAAAAATTATGAGCAATATCAACATCATAAGGAGCACATCACATTAACCTATTATAAAAAACTGTACAACCACACTATATTGCATGAAATTCTTGTACGATGGATTTCTAGAACTTACATAAGACAAAGCCTCCTAGTAAACCAAGGTCTGCAATGTTCTCCTTTACCAGTAACATGGCAATAACAAAGCTGGTGGTCAAGAAGACTAGCCGAGCAATTTCCAGCACAAGAAATGGGTACACACACCACAGGGACACCTGAGTGTTAGAATAAGGACATTTTTTTATAATTTTTATATACACACAGTAACACATGTATACTGATACAAGCACACACACATGAGGCAAAGTATCTACCATTCAGCGCTCTAGTTTCATTGAATAAAAAATTGTTTGTTTCAATATAAAATAAAATGCTCTCACTTGTGGGCATATAATTTGACAGTCTGTTTATCATTTAATTCTCTATTTAAAATTGTCACCCCATTATTAGGTAACTTTATAATAGTATCATATCACATGATTCATGACCATATCTTTTAACCTATATGTATGTGCCAGACCACTCACATGCTGTTATTTTACATTTCTGCTACCGCTGGATGTATAACTACTTCTGAGCAGTATCTTGCTTTTGTCTAGTAGACAAGGCACTGGTACTCAGGTAAGGGAGCTTCAAGTTTTTCACCAATATATGCTATTATTATGTATTCTTCTGTTTTATGGGAAAGGAGGTATGAGTATGGTATACTGTTGCATACCATACTGACAGGAAAAGTACCCGGCCTCTAAATAATGTTTGAAAATAAAAAATGAACAGTGATGTGACTCAGCAGTTGACTCTAGTCAGTTAACTTACACAGTTCTCTGACAGTGCCAGCCCATCTCTGAGGACCATGTCCCACAGAAATTTCATGCATTGCTGTAAAAAAATGAGTTTGATTCATTTCTAATTTGTCTGCAATTAGTATAGCAGGAAAAGGTTTTTCAGATTTGGTGGTTAAGTTTCAAAATGTTCATGAATGAATTGTAGCTTTAATGCAGTTCTGCACTTATTATGGTATTCAGTAAATGTGCTGTGTAGTCTGTTCTGTTCTTGGATCTAACAAGATGCCTGTTCCTCCCTGATTTGTTTGAATCCTCCTTCCCAATTAGTATAAATTGTTCAGCTTTTGAATTCATAAAGAATGGCTGTATCACAGTTTCCATAAGTTGATGTGACTGTTGCAGTTATATTTGTGTTATGGTTGAAAGTTGATTAAGAACCTTGATTTTGCATATTAGGCAATCAAAAAAAGTTACACTTTAGAAACCCAATACTTTTCATCCTTAAGCCAACAAGACAAGAATTAACATTTTTTAAACAGTAGTGTGAAAAACCTGTCATTGATAATGCATGAAGAAGCGAGTATACTTTTGTTTCTTTCCTTGTGTATTTTCTGGTAGTGAATTTGTATGAACTAAAATTAATGTACAGGCTTTAAAATTATCAGAACAATAAAGAACATGCTTGTTCCACAACAAGATTACTGTGAACTTAAAAATAATTCACACAAAAAGGAACAGTGTATACAGCAGACTGAGTAACTTACTCTGAAAGTGCCATATAACATGAGAAAACAGAAGACGCAATGTAATGAGAAGCATGTGATGATCCCAACTAACCAGCCCTCTGTTCCTGAAAATAAAGACAATAAAGATAGGATTAATTGTCCTTTCAGAAGGAAACTCCTTGAAAACATGCTGGCTATCCTTTCTTTCCCTCAAAGAAATTCAGATCATAATCATCTTCATAACCCTTAGCATTTCCTGGGAGGTTCATCTTATAACAAAGAATCCTTCACCAATTTCCTAATATATACATTTTATATAACTTCCATCTGCCTTGCACTTATCTCCCAATCAGTAATTTATTTTCTACCTTTCTCAAAGGACTCAACCCTTAATTTAATAGCATTTCTACTTTCATATGAAGCCCAGCATCCTGACTGTAGACTACACCCCTTTTTATTAATTTCTTTACTCTGCAGAAACTTCATCTTTGATTCTAATCTGCTTACATCTCTCCAACCGTCTGCATTCCTCAGCTGTACACATAATAGTTTACTTGCAGTTACCATAATTTCAATTTGCAGATTATGAGACTTACAAGACCTGGGGCCACATCCACTCTTTCTTTGCAACTTCTGGCCTCTGGGCTATAAATATTGACTAAAATTTTTATATTCTTTCTAATATTTATCCAAGCCCTTTCAATGTCCACGTTATCAGAATGGACAATCGGAACAGTATCAGACCATTCACCTCTCAGCATTACATATGGCATCCCATCTCTAACAAACTCCACCCTGTTGATGTGATTCCCTTATATAAAAATAGTCTGTCCCTAGGTGACAATCAGCATTCCCATTTTCATAGAATAATGTATAATCGTCTTCTGGTTCAGCACCTCCATTGTCCTAACTGACCTCCTCTACTCCCATTAAATTTCACATCCATTTTCTAATTCTCTTCATTCTGATTCAAAGTACCTGACTTATAGACACTCCTGACATAACAAGTTTCAAATTTCATGTCTCTGCTCCACTGCTTAGGTAGGTCCAGAGAATCCATCCAAGTTTAAACCCCTGTGTAACATTTTGTGAGATGCTGGCTTTTTATGGTGATTAGTTGTTAGCCCCTGCCTAACCTCCAGACAGTAGGGCTACCTCTTGTCTTCTGTCCACACCTGTTTATTTATTTATTTATTTGCTCTAATATGGAGGCCTTCTCCTACAACTACATCCTGCAGACTTGCCATACCATGCATACCATGATGATAAAGGGTCCACTTAACATGGCATATTACATTGAGCACATTGTAATTAATATTGTTGTCTGAGCATTCAACACAAAGCATTGTATTGTTATCTTATTTAATCTGGACACATCTTGACATTCACAGTGTATTGTTGATGTTGATCCTACTTTTAGGTGCAGGCAATTTGTGAAGCGACCTGTGTTACTGACATTTCAGAGGAGCATACTGCTTCCATCATAGGGACTGAAGTTAGGAGTGACTGTGGAATGCCACCTCACACCACCATCTGGCCCAGATGTGTTATGTCCTGTCAGCCTTAATGCCAGGGTAAACAGTGTATACTCAACCATTCCAGTTTTGTTGTACACAGTACAAATTACTGATGGTAAGATTCCTGACAACCAATCACAGTTTGAAATTGTAAGTGTGCTCCACATAAAAATACACATGTTTTCCGAACAGATTTTATTTGGAATTCAGTAACAGCAGAACAGATTACAGTAAGGGTTCTCAACCTGTGCCCCATATTAATTTTTTTAATATTACATTGTTCTGTTTAACTCTTTAACACTGAAGCTTGTGTAAATAATATTTAAACAACTGGTTCTTATCTAAAAAAACACAGCTTCATTAAAATGATCATTTGTTTAGTCTTTAATTTACTAGGATTTTAAATCCCTGTATCCTATGCTGGCCCAATTTAAATCTCCCAATGTGCATGTGTTTCAGTAAAACAATGTATCTTTCTTAAAAACCTGCATACAGCAGTGAAAAAAATATATGCCTTATGCAGAAATGTTCACTCTATTACTTGAAATCATTCCTCAAGCTGTCACTCCACAAGATTGTTTCTAATATAATGTAATATTACACATATTTGCGTTTTCTGCTATCATTAGAAATATAATTTGAAAATATTGTGATATTATTAAAGTAATTACCTTAAAATGTGATTGCAAAATCTAACCATTTCTTTTCCCTCTGACAAACAACTGTAGAAATTTCTGTATCATTTCCTGCCCCTACTATACAAGAACACAAACATAGGTGCAACTAACTTTTCACTCCATAATAGAGGAAACTATTTGAAGGTCAGTTTTGCTTGGTATAGTTCCCAACACATAGAAGTATGGAGTCTAACACCTCCAGCTGCATAGGAGTGTACACTCATTGGGTAGTGTTTTCTATCATTTATCTCCAGATGGGATAACTGAGATATTGTTGGGCTTCATTTTCCTTGTATTCCATTTCCATTTACAGCCTCTTCCGTTGTAAGAAGAAGGTCATAAACTAGTTGTTTCTTGAATTGCAACTGGGTCATTTTACACCATACTGCTTCTATGTTATAAAATAATTTATGACTACTGTATAAAAGTTTCTTTGTTCACTTAAAGTTCTATAATTTATGCCAGACCTCTGGCCCATCCTGTCAATTGTATCAAATAGCTTGTGTGTGTTGTAGTTTGCACTGCTTGGGGCGTCAGAGCATTATGTGCACCAAAATTTCCCTCAGCTGCAGCTGTACTTGTGTCTCTTGTCTTTATAACTCACTGCCATGATAATGTTATTATCTCTACTCACAATATCTCATTTCTTTCTTTTCAGGGCCCTAGGGCCAAAATGTTGGGGCAGTCCTTCTGTTATGACAAAGAGTGTCACAATAAGCAATTTTCATGTTGTATTGGTCATCAAATAGGTCAGAAGATGTAAAGTTCTCAAATTATTCATGTACAACTTGTGACTAACACCCTCCACACTTCTTCCAAGATTCATAATAATACAATTAGGTGTCAGTCAGAAGTGGCATGTTTACATTGCATTGCTGTGTAAGCCCTCACGTCATATTTAGACTTCAAAGAGTTGCAGAGATTGTAGTTTTTTGTCAAATATTTAGTGTTTCTGCAGGTTATACATCATAAACTGCTATCCCTTGAAAAGTGTGATTATTCCATCAACAGCTAGGTACTCCATTGGATGGCAGTAGTCCTTAAAATTATCATGAATTTAGGAATGTGCACTATTCATTTTCCACGGATGATCCTACATCTGTCTTTGTCTGAAGGTGGGGAAAAGGGGCAGGGGAATATTTGCATTATCAGCATAGTATTGAAATATAAACAAATTGGGTTTTGAACAATTCCTTTAGATCACAAAGATGTCTAGTTCTGTTTGTTATGCACCAGTAACTATTCTTCTGTGCCCTATATAAAGTAAATACATTGAAATCTTTAATTTCTTAATCTGTGATATCCTGCCTTTCCAGAGTGCTAGTTGCTTGTAGTATGCAATACTGAAGGCAGTGCAGATTTGATTCCTTCAATAGTAATGTGACCAGAAACTATACAAGGCAGAGTTTGGAGTACTGTGTGGGAGAAGAATTATCCTTGATATCAGGTGTTGAATTATAATCTAACCTAACAATGGGTAATGTATATCCTTGTACCTGTCTAATGCTACTTCTGCTCTCCACATACCAGTCTGAAAGCTATTCTGATTAGCTCCCTTTTCAATGAGAAGAACATTTGTTCCAAACAGCTGGCTCCTCATCTACAAGCCTCTCTTCTGAATCATGGTGTAGATGTAGTCCTTAAAGGCTATAGCTGTTTAGGGAAGTAATTTACGTTTATTCTGAGAATTATGTGAAACCTATACATAATACTCTGTGGGCAAATGTAATAGTTCCTGATTGTTAGTGCAGGTGGTAAAAATATTTACCACTGTATTTTAAAGTATTAATGAAAACATAGTTATTACTTGAATTAGTGAAGTGACTAAGAAATATTGTTCAAAATATGTAGACTGGAAAACATAACATAAAATATGACAGCTCAGCACTTACCTCTCTTCATATTATATAAAGTATCTTTCATGAACAGCATGTCGTAAGTTCTAAGCCAGAAGTCCAATTGTCTTTGTATTGCATTCTGATTCCTCAGGCCTGTGATGCTAGCTATGAGGCAAGCCCCTGACTGCCCCTGAAAATATTCAAATAACAAAACAGTATAATCCCTGCTACATAAATGGATGTAATGGTATTCACAGTGCTTAGATTCATGGTACAAAGATTTCCCTTGGCACAAATAATCAAGAAATTTTCTGTTCATGAAGGTTCATCACCATGATCTTGAAAGCCATTACTATACCCTATCCTTAACAATGTCAGCAGTCTGAGCAGATGGCAGCTAAGATGTTTTCCCTCATTGTACATGTGGTTGGGGAGCGAATATTGTTTCCTGAACATATTTCTTTAAAATAACATGAGAAGGAAATAAGAAATTTGGAAAATAAAACCTATGTATATTCAGCAAGAAGACAAACATCAACTGAGACATTTGACAGCATGCAGGTGAGTGTTTAATGTTTAAACAAATGACATGTTATTATCATAAACACAATTTAATTATCTGTGGATATAACTAAATGCATAGTGTTAGGACTCCAATATTTTGGTCATCAGTTCACCACAAACAAGTTATCAGAGACTGGAAGAGGGTATACACACATTTGTTTTAATAATACAGCAGAACTACAAAGAACTAAATGTTGTCAATTGGCCAGTAGATTTTAGTTGTATCTCCCCTAAATTATTTGTTACACAAACAGCAAGAATATGAGTCAATGGGTTTTCTTATGTTGCTGGTAGTATGAAGTTGTATTTCTGGCAACCTGACTGGTGGAGTGAAATTTGTTAAAGTTAACCTATATTCTCAAGGTCTGTGCACCATAGAAGTATGAATAAAAAATGCAAGAGTATGGAAATGAGGAATGTCTTCAATTTAAGTAATATTTCTGGAGGTGTATATCCTACAAAAATGTTTGAATAAAGCAAGCTACAAGACTGGGGTGAGTACAATTATAGTCTGCCTGTTACAATATTAATCATGCCATGAAGATATTAAGGGGAGTGGAGGTATAGCCCAATTCCTTGACTTGGCACCAGATGATAGGGAGTGATCAGCTTCATGCCATGCTTAATTACCCCTGTGGAGGGTAGCACCTGACAAAATCTTGAGGTGGGAGGTTGCGTATGCTCCAGTGCCAGTCTTTATGTTCTTTATGGCTGAATAGATTATGTTGAATGACCAGTGGACTGAAGATATGTCTTTTTCCAGAATGTGAAGCAAAACATGTCTAGCTTTAGGTTTCACAGCTTTAATAAAGTAACAATTGTTGCTATTCATGTTAAATACTGTCTGGGTGCAGATCATAAACACACAACTGTTTGATAAAACACTTTTAACTTACCTCAGTAAAGGAATTTATTAATTTTAATTTTGGTATTAATAATTACAGTAGCAGTGCAGCAGTACAGCTCCAACATTTGTAGTCTCAGGTGATGAAAAACTATTCCTATTTAAGATGATTTCTTCAGTGGCCATTCATTGTTTTCCAGGCAGAAGACCCCACTAACAATTACAAAGAACCAGTGAACCGGATGATGATTAAGTATTGAAATACAATAATTGTGGCAGAGTTGTATTTCCTACTGGGTTAATGGAGACTATTTGAGAATTTTTCCTAGCCTTTTAAAAACTGCACTAAATCTTTGAATAGAAAATATCAAAAAATTGTCATCTTGCTATTTGGCCATTTTGCTTTCTTTACTTATAAACAGTTACATATATTCCTCTGTTACACATTTTTTTAATACTTACAAGTGTAAATATTGCCACCACTGCAGAACCAAATCTTGTGGAGAACCAAAAGATGAAGTGATACATTACTGCCATTACTACGGCAGGTGATTTGTCTCTCTCTGTGTGTTACAAGATGCTATGTGCCAGGTCTCGGGAGAAAACTGTAATCATGAAAACACTTTCAACAGAACACATGCAGAATTGATATTGATAATTTTGTACAATACATATGAATAAATTATTCACTGTTTATAACTCTATGCTAAACATGACTGGCGAAGTTCTCAGTATAATGTTCTATTTTGTGTGTTGCTACCATAGGACAGCTATCAGAAGTAACTCAAAATTATACAAAAGTACAAATGGGTTAAATGAAAGGAGGAAAAGGGGGAAAGGATGAAGATAAAAAATAAGTAATTCCCCATTAAATTTAAATAGGCCTCATATCAATGTATTTCTGTTATCAGTATAAAATTTTGTCAGTAGATTACACCCTTTCAATTTGTTTTATTTAAATTAGATATGCAGCAATGCCTCGTCAACAGCGAATATGAGTGTCACCGGTTTTCCATGTGTATCTACCTTTACCACTTTTACCATATAAATTCAATTCCAATCTTGCTACTGTTGCATTACCATTTAATGCGCTGAGGAAAATGGGGTTAAATTTGTATGGGGTAACATCGGAGATGACCTTTGATAAATATAAAGCGGCTATTTCAAAACCTCCTGTTCTCTGCATTGGTTGATTTCTCTAAACAGTTTATCCTGTAGAATGATGGGAGCGGATTAGCATTAGGAGCTGTGTTGTCTCATGGCTGTGTCAGCCGATAGCTTATGCATTATGCACCTTAACCGCTGGACAATGAAAGGCCTTATTAATCAGAGCAGCGTTTCTCAACCTATGGTATGCGTGCCAATGTTGAGTGGTAAGCGAACTAAGCAAGAAAATCAAAAGCTAATATTAACATAAATAAGTTTTTTCCTGAACGCATTTGGTTAGTGGTACATTTAATGTCTTAAATTAGAATTAGTGATAAGCCAGCGAAAAAGTTGAGAACCCCTGATATAGAGGGTCTGGCCATGTTGTTTCATATTTATAAGTTTCGATCATACCGCGAGGATGCTGAGATTTCACTGGAGACAGAAAAATTGGCTCAACAGCTGGATAAGATTGCTCGTTGGGTGGCGAAAATAGCTTTTAATTAAAGTTTAAAGTGCAGCATGTACATGACCCCCATTCTTAACGTGTCCTTGAATGACGCTCCTTCAACCTTCTGTAAAGCATTTCTCTCGCATTTTCCACTTGTTCTCCGTGATTTGGCTGCACTGCGTAGGGACGATCCGAATTTATATTAGGTCACTGAAAAAATGTAAGCGAAGGAAGAAGTACCGAAGTTTACTTTAATTGAAAGGATTTTGCGTTGTGGACCTGGATCTGACCGTAGGCGGAAGTTTGTCATACCGGCGGCAGCTGTCCCGATGCTTTTCGTCATTATTACACATCGATCTTGGGTGAACATTCACGTGTCTCCAAGAGCATTTGCAAGATTCCGGGAGTATTTAGTATGGAAATCCATGAAAAAGAGACATCCGTACATGTGTTTCTAATTGTGCGCTATGTGACCTATGGAAACCAGTTCAGTATACAAGTCTCAGAGTCGCGCTGCCCTATGGGTGCAACGGGTACATCGGACCCGGGCGGCAATTTGCTTTGGGGGCACAGAATTTTGAAGCATTGAATTGGAGTGCCGACAATCAGGGGCGGCGCCAGAGGGTAGAAAAAGTATGCAATTGCCTACGAGAGCAATAGTTTAAGGGGCGCTAAAAGGAACTGAAATCCATCCATCGGATACACCATTCATAACCTCTTTTGGGACTTCGAAGGGATGAAATAGCGGTTAACCCAAAATGAAATAAAGACGGGAAACCCGAAATAAAGGCAGTGACCCCTTTGGATATTAGGGCGTGGTTGTGCGCCGGCCTCCCACGGGCTGAGTAGTTGCAAAACGCAGTCGTAGAGCCTTCTCAACCGCCCGCACCTGCAGGGTGGCTCTGCACGCGACACTCGCCGGCGCCTTATTTTTGAAAATGACACAGTAGAGCTTTGAGAAAACTTGCTAAGTGACTCCATGAGCCTATCTACGCAGATAAGACCATGGCTAAGTTCTTCTGAGAGCAACTTGAATCCTCTTAATCAAATCCGGAAGAAAGGGATGTAAGACACGCACACATCGACCCCGTGGGGTGAATTCCTGGTATTGATGTTTCCGGAATGCTCGCTAGGGATTTTTCCGATGGAAGTTCTACGAACTTTCTCTGTATGCGCTGAATCCAATTCATTGGCAATCTTTCTGTAGAAGTGGCACAGAAAGGATCGATCTCCCTCCGTGCTTTCTGCAGATACAAGTAATTGTCATATTTTATTTCCTTTCATTTTCGCCTTTTCCTTAACATTTAAATTATTATTACTTACGTAACATGATTCTTAGCAGAAACTTTGATCTTAAGTTATGAAATATTTGATAATATATATCATATTAAATTTTTGTAAATTACAATGATACTTTGTGAAAGATCTGTGAACAATTAAATCATAATGACGATTTACAATGTCAGAATACGGAATATTTATAATTAATTATCAGTAATATTTAGTAGCAAATCTAAGTTTTTGGGAGGCAGTCGAAAACCCCTGGTTTTTCAAATCCCTCTAAAATTAATTAAATTTGGTAATCTGAAAATAGAAGAATTTAGTACCTATACATAGGGGCGTCAGATATGCTCGGCCCGGGTCTGTCTAGACTAGTTTTGTTACGTTCAAAAGGTTTCGAAAACCCCTACCAGAAGTTCTTCTCTGATTATGTGGGCAAATTTACTCGTAGTAAGTCAGAAAATCCAATGTTGTTGGTGTGTGTGGATTTCTTCTCTAAATGCGTTTGGTTGGGCCGCGTAAGGTAAGCTACGAATTTGGCTACTGTAGAGGCTCTTAGAGATCGAGTGTTTTCCACTTTCTCTGTTCCGAGCCTTATTGTCTCGAATACTGACACAGCGGGTAACCCCTTATTTCGGAAACTTGGAAGGCATTTGTGCCGAAGAACTGACTGGGGGAACCCACGGGCAACCGAGCGGGACTGATGAACAGCATGCCAGTCGAGGCTGTCTCTGAAAAGACGGTCAATTCGGCGTAATGAGTGGTCTAACTACTCTGTTAACCTAACCGAGATTTTGCTCAGTAGTATGGTAAATGCCAGGGTTTAATTTAAAAGGCCTGTCTTCCCCAATCATGGAGGCCTTCAGCCAAAGAGATTTCCCCCCACGTCACAGAGGCCACCAGCTTAACCGATGCCAACACTTCTGGGTTCGTATTCCAGAAAGTCATTTAACCGAAATCCTTTTTATAAAGGACAAGTTGCCTGATAGGATCATTTCCCATCAGTAACAATGGGCCCTAGTGTAATGTCAAGACCTTCCGCCATGACAAAATTCCCGTTAGCGTAAGTACACCCCTGTTATAGTTTTAAAGATTTTTT